AAAAAAGTTAGTCAAATTTGCTAAAAAACACTCCTGGTGTGTACAATCTTTGTTTTATAAGTTTAAAATAAATTAATCTTGTTTTGGGGTTATAAAACCAAAAAATATTTTTGCCAAACAAAAAAAACTAGTGTTGTTTAATTTTGGTATTTAGCATTTAATCCTTAAGGTAACTTAATGTGTTACAAAATTTAAATTGTTGTTTTTTAATAAAAAAACAAAGTTGTGGCTGCAGCAGGGCAAAGCCAAAAAAATAAAAAATAAAATTAAATCTGTTTTGGTAACAAATAGCAAATAAAAGCTGTAATCAGTGCCCCACACTAAGCCTTAAGGTGGCTCTAAGTAATCAACGGTCACTTTGCCAAAGGGGAGCCAAAGTAAATTGTGTTTTCCTTTTCAAATCAACGTGTGTTTAAAAGCAAAAGTTAAAAGTTAAAAGTGTCCTTTTAAAACAAAGCCTCTAAGCGGCTAATAACTTTAAATCCAAAAGCAAGTCAAAAATGTCTGTGTAATGTAAACCACCTAAATAAAAATAAAAGCCATTAAAACCTAACCTGCCTATAAAACAAATATAAAAAAATATAAAAAGTAATTTAAGTAATTTCTCAGTTTTGTCTGTAATCAGCAAGGGTATTTGTAAAAAAAAAAAAAAAAAAAAAATTTTAAACAATAATCTGTCAACCCCCAAAAAATAAAAATATGCTGTCTTTCAAAAAAAAAAAAAAAAAAAAAAAAAAAGCTAATATCAACTAAAAAGCCGCAAATTGTTCTTAAAGTGTTGCTGGGTACACCTTACACCCTAATCACCTTTGGCGCTCCCCAAACGGTTGCGCCTCAGGTGCTCTGGCCCTATTTGCTCGCGTGCATCACCTAATAACACGCGTAAGCAAAGGGGAGGTTAATTGCTGCAGTTAAATAAAACTTTTCCTCTGTGGCCCAGCACTACTGCCAGCAACATAATGTTAGGCAGACAGCACTTTCCCCTCTCTAAAAACCTTTTCTAAATATTCAAATTAATTTTATTCAAATGTTTAAATATTATAATTGTAAGTATGTGTTAGTTTTAGTAATGTATTTCCTTGTAAAAAGGCAAATGCCAAAACTGTTGTAAAACTTTTGCTTAAAAATTTTGTATCACAAGCTGGCATATCTAAACTAATTATAAAAAAGTTATGTGCAGCTTCACAAATCCAGTATGGCCAAATGCCCTTTAAAGGCCACTCCCAATCAAAAAACCAAACTCAGCCCTCATAAAATTTCTACCAGGGCGCCCAATGCAACCACCAGCAGTGCCCTACTGGCCCTGGTTCAAATAAACATTCATTTAATAAATAACACAATGCTTAATTATTATCGCCAGGCACTAATAAAATGTATTAGATCTTTTTCTATATAGCAGCCCTGCCACTCGCTAAAACCAAAAAACTGGTCTACATAAAGGTCCATCAGTAAAAAATGCCCTGGCCCCCTGCTAAAAAACCCTTATCAAGTCCTGTTAATTATCAACACCGCTGTAAAGTGCTAAAAATTAACTACCTGCCCATGTTTCTCACTGTAATGGCTCTCCAACTAATAATCAGTCTACCTTTCCTTCTGGCGATGTTATTCCTTCTAAACAGCAAAAGTAAAAAACAAAATAAAAAGCTGGTAACCTCTCCTTTGTCCGCTAACAAACCCACTGTGCCTTTAAATCTTGCTAAAAAAACAACCTCTCCACCTAAAAACATAATAAAGCCTCCCTCCAACCAAGCAAGGTAATTGTGCTAGTAAACTCTCCCTTGCTGCCTCACTGCCAAGCAGCTAAGTAAACTAAAACTACAAAATCTCAAAAAATAGCTTGCAAAAGCTAGCCAAAACTATCTAAAAATAAAACTTTTAATATTCCTTAGCCTCTCCTTCTTAACAAACTTAGGGTAAAAATAAAAAAGTAATATTTTTTTAAATCTTAGCCAATCAGTAGCCTCTAATTTAGCCTGTACCATATTGTAATATACCCCTATTTATATCATTAATATTAATGCCTTTCTGCTCTTTGTAAAGGTGTTTAACCAACAAATATAATACTTCACCAAAAAAAAAAGTGTTAAAACATCAGTAAACTATAATTAATGCCACACTAAAAACCATTACGTTCACACTGTTCTTATCCAGTTTTCAAATTCTTTACGTATCCAAATTGCTCTAAAAAAGCTGCCATTTGGCTAGCACAGCAAAAAACCTGGGCTTCTCCCAAAAAAAATTAACTAAACACCTGTAAAATGGGGGCAATAGCGCAGCTTCAATTTAAGATATTCACAAAAGCCAACAGCATAAAAAATTAGATCAACTAAAAAAAGCCACTGGTCTTATTACTAAAACACAGCTAATGCAGGTTCAGGCTAAAGTTAATAAATTATATGTTATTTCCGCCCTTAGTTCTATAACCTAAAAGTTGCTAACAAAAATGGTATTAAATATCACTGGTGCTAAAAAGGCATTGCAGTAAAACTTGGCATGCTCAAAAGTTCAAAATTTTCTAAATAACCAGCTAATGGCCAAAGTAATCTCAAGCACCAGGCCTGGCCCACTGCTCTTACAAACACCTCAAAAGTACCATCTAATCTGTGGCCATAAAGGCATACTTAAAGGTTTTCTGGGTAAAGGTGTAAACAGTCACAGTGCTCCTTCCAAGCCTATAAACCGGTTAAAAAAATGTGGGCTCCCACATACCAAATCCTGCCGGGTCCATAAAAAAAATGCATGTAAAATTGGGTTATTCACCAAAACATTTAAAAAATCAAGCCACCTGGTATGCCTAGCCAATTTATAATTAGTGTTCCTAAAATAACACCCAATATTTAAATTAAAATAAAAAACCAATAAACACTTTGGCCATTAAAACCCCCACAGCTCCAATGCATACGTAAATTAAAGCCAAAAAAAGTTGTCACTGTCCATAACAATGTTTGTTAAATAAATAAAAAAATAAAAACCCGCCTAACAAAAAACATAATCTTCCAGGCTAATAACAGCTGTGTATTTGTTAAGGCCCATATTGTACACAACGCCCATTTTAACCTCACTACAACTGCAGGCAAACATGTTTTTTTTTATTGGCCTGCAAATAAAAATTTGCAATCAACTCTCAAGTATAAAATAAACTAAACAACCCTGGTGCCTGACCGTTTCCAAAATCTGCTTTCATTATTACCAAAGGTCCAAAAAATTTCTAACTTACAAGGGCAAATTCATATCCTTAAAAATGTATATCAGGTAAAAAAAGGTGCCTTTTAAACAGCCTATAAACTGTCTTCTTTGTGTACTAGTTAAAATTTGTTGTGTGTGGTAACCAAAATTGTGCATAAACCCCATCGTACCGTTACAATAAGTAAACTAACACTTATAGTGGTGTTGGTTGATTTAAAATTGTGCCTTTATTATTGCTGTTGCAAAAAACATTGCTGTACATATAATTTTTCTGCTAGGCCAGTGCAAAAAAACAAATAACATTAATAATTGTTAATAAAATCTTTAATAAAAGTTAAAATAAAAAATAAAAAAATCAATGGGCTCATAAATGTTAAAGTTTAGGCCAAAGGTGGTGCCAAAAAGGGGCCAAAGGGGGAAATGGTAAAAAAAAAAAAAAAAAAGGAAAAAGGGATAAAAATTTGGTCAAAGAAAAAGAAAGTAGAGTAAGGTAAAAAGTAAGGAGAAACTAGAAGAAAAGGGAAAAGGAAAAAAAAAAAAAAAAGGGTAAACAAAAACTAAAAAAGCAAAAGTAACAGTTTGTAATTAATAGCTGTCTGGGGGCAAAGCAAAAAACCGCAAAGGGCAAAACTATTAAAAAACAAAAAAAAGCTTGCTTCTCTTTATCCCTTATATAAATGTAAAATTTTTAAAAGGTGTATGTAATTTTGTGGTTTTATCCTATATAGGCTCTTGTATTGTGTCCATCGGGGGGGGGGGGGGGGTTGGCTGCCTTGGCTAACTCCCCCATGCATGCATGTTTAATTAATCAATAAAAAAGCCTCAGGCTGTCTAATCCAAAATCAACCGTGTGGTCAATTTTCCACACCACCACCAATAACCACCACCAATTAAAACACTGCTATTTCCAAATGGGTGGAGAGCCAGGGTCAAGTCTCAGTGTCTTCTCTACTGGGTTGGGAGCATGGAAAGGACAGTATTGCTCATGCCAAGGGTGGGAAAGGGCAAAGAATAACTCTCAAAATATAATTATCCTGTGACACCCTGGCACCCCAATATTCACCACTGTCATGTAATTAGAATATGTTTTGTACAAAGTATGCCTTGTGAGGTATCATTCTAAAAGTCTTGATCTGCTAGACGTTAATAACTCATTGGATTGTATGTGCTATCATTGTATGTGAAGTTATTAAGTTTGGCTATGTATGTGTTACTGAAACATGTTCTGAGGTTGAAATCACCCACAAGCAGCCTTTCAGGTACAACAGTAAAAAGGCTTATTGGGGAAATGCACACAAACACAAGGATTATCCCAGGAACTGTGTACAGTAGAAACCTTTCAAAGATAGCATTACACAATGGGAACGGTTTGATCCAGGTCACAGCAAAAGAGCTTTCCAGCAAGTGGGAAGTAGATATAAAGGGGAGAGGGTGGGGAGAATGCCATCATATGGGGCTCACTCTCCCTACACCACACCTGGAAACACCTGAGGAAAAAAAACTGAACTGTGGGAAATGATGGTCCCAGGCTAGAGGGATTTCTAACCTGTGTATGAAAACTTGGAAAACCCAAGCTGCAGAGCCAAGGCAGCTTGTGCCTTAAGAATCTTCCAGCCTGTTTATCACTCAGGGTGATTAGTATGTTAAGCTCAGTTGGCTGTTTTGTTTATTTACTAGGTAATTTGCTTTGATCTGTTTGCTATCATTTATAATCTATCCTTTTGTAGTTAATACACTTATTATATGTTTTAATCCAAACCAGTGTGCGTTCGACTAAGGTGTCTGGGGAAAATCGCAGCTTGGTTACTACAAGTGTGCATGGTCCTCTTCACATTGAGGGAGAGGTGGATCAGTTGTTAAACCCATATACTGGCCAGATTTAACCGGGACAGGACGGTACTGCTCTAGGGTCCCAGGCTGGGAAGCTGATAGTTAGAGAGCCTGTGTGTAAATGCAGCTGGGTGTGTCCCTACCTGTACAAATGCTAGTGAAAGCACAGGCTGGGGGACTTTGCAGCTTGTCATAGCAGTACAGGGAAGGAGCCCAGGCAGGTGGGTCAGGGGGCTCAGTGGTACCTGAGTTCGGCACCCTGGGGGGAACCCATCACATACCCCTTTTTGGAGTGAAGAGAAATGTTACTGACATTTCTTTATTGTATCACCAATACCACATAAGCTCACAGAAAAAGATTGTAAAAATCTAATATATTTATCATCATTTATGTTATTGGTTTAAATGTATCCACTTTGCTCTTCTTGATTGGTTTCTAGCAAGTTTTATGGCTGAAGTCTGATGGCCTAGCATGCTGCAAAGACTGCAGGGGGAGGTTCTAAGAGTAGTTTTGTTCTTATAAGTGACTCCAAAAATAGGATTGGGGCATTCCATGTTTATTGTCTCTGTGACTTCCATGGGAAAGTGCTCCCATTGAAGCAAATGGTAGCTTGCCACTGACTTCAAAAGGAGCCGGAACTTGTACTCACTTTACAAGAAAAAAAGATGGGTTCTTCTTCACCACTGCCAACTTGACAAACAACGTGGGATCAGAAAGTCAAGGTGGGTTCTTTCCATTTTGCCCATGAACTTCACAATCCTGGCTGAAGTGAGTGGTATTTATAGGCTTGGTTTGGGTGTAGTTGAGGTGATGCCTCTATGTGTCAAGGCAAAGGATTCTAAAATTGGAATTTAATTAAAACTTCTGCTGATGGTCCACAAGACAGACCAGAATCCAACTCATGTCCTTGCAACTGTGCTAGAGGGATAACAGAAGTAAAAAAGAAATAAACATGTATTTACTGAAGTCATTAGATGGGTAGCAAGGTCTATAGATGAAGATGGTGCCATTTTTAAAGTCATTCTTCTGACCATTATTGTACTTTAAATTAATTATGGGGCTAAACTAAACTAAAAGAGTCTCATTTGGGTCTTCCTGCACAGAGGGATGGTAGCTGTCATTGGGACCTGGACACCAGGAGACATACATCAGGAGAAAAGGCAGGGAATCAAAAGGGAGGACCCTCTGCAAACAAAAGATCGCTAAAAATCCTGAGTATCTCTATATCTTTCTGAATATATATGAGAAAGTCACACACCTGCATATGCACAGTACTGAGAGGCCAAGGTATTAAATTTCGGTACATTGAACCAGAAGTGGGCATGTGGCTTATGGTCCTATTCTTCATTAAGGAGACTGTATGAGCTATCAACACGCAGAGTATTAGAGAGCGGTTTCAGAAGCTCCATCACACTCAGCTCTAGACCTTCACACTGGTGTCCCCTTAGCTTTTTTCTGATTTTGAAAGTAGTCCTTTGTGAAGGAGATGATTTTCTCCAGATCAATCAGTGGTTCCTCTGTGTTAAGTTTTCCTTCCTTCTGCCTTTGCGCAAGGATCATGGCTCGGAGCAGAGGGGGGTATGGCACACACTGAATGGTTTCCACTGACACTGGAGTAAATTTCTTGAAGGCCTCCTCTTCATGTTTGGGCACCATCCTCCAGTCATGATACATGACCTTGTCAATCTCTTTCACTTCATTATACGTCTTGCCTAAGGAAAGATGATGATGAATAGGTAAACAATGCTATGAACAACAAACTCCATATTGGTGATTATGCCAATGAAGTGTCTCCAATGCTTCAGCTGGGCATAGCACTGGATATTTTATGGTAGTTACACTATCTGCTACACTACACACTCCCACTACAGGTTGTATAGCAGATAACACAGGCAATTGACTGACAGAACATCTGGATTGTAGTCCTGACTTTGCTGTTGACCACTTCTGTTAGCTTGAGCAAGATATTTCACCTCTCTCTGATTTAGTTTCCATATCTATAAAATAAAGATAATTCTTTCCTGCTTTATAGGGATGTTGGGAAGTTGAATTCATAAATGTTTATAAAACACTTTGAGATCCTTGAATTAAAGATACTAGAAGTGTAAAATTTTATTAAATAAATTATAAACCTCATACACGGTGTAAAATAGCTTTCAGAACATGGGGAATTTCCCGTTTGTCTCAATGAAAGTACTGATTCTGAACCCTAATGATGGCAACTTAAATGACAACATTGCTATTTCATTATTGATTTTAGCAAGAACATTCAGCTAGCGTGTTTATCCACTGTTTTTAGCTATTACAGAAGTCAGAGATGGAAGAGACCCGATTTGTCATAGACTCCATTTCTTTGCCAACACAAATTGTTCACTGTGGTATAGTCTCCAGGGATTTCTTCAAGCTAGTTTTAAATGACAAAGGGGACTCCTACCATTTTCCTTGTGAAATTTATTCCACGGTGGACTAGATCGAACTGTTAGGAAGTTTTCCTTTTCTTAATTTCATCCTATTATAGATGAGTGGAAAGAGAGAGCTACCAGTGGAGGAGGACTGCTGAGTGGCAAGAAAGCCACCACCTTTTTCCTCCCATGTCAGTCCCTGTCCCTATCCATTTACTTTTTTCTCTAATCCTGTTTGAGAGACATACACCAAGCTCTACTTACCTCTGAATGTCAGGTATCCCCAGGCTTTCCCATGATCCAAAGTCTGCAAAGAAAACAAACAAAAATTTGCTCTGATCAATTAAAGAACCATTCCCATTCACAAAAAGGACAAACTCATTTTATAGTCTTATTACTCATGATCTACAAAAAGTGAGTCCTACACCTGGGAACTGAATAACTGCTAATCGTGGCCACTACTATCCTTCTAGAATACTAAGCAAATGCCATTAGACAATCCCTGCAATGAATTTTGTGATGAAGAATGCTGCATAATGTGTCTCAATACTATATACTGCCTGCTATCAGCCCTGTAATGACTCCATACAACTACATGTGTGACCATTAAGGTCCTGATCCTTATGTTCACGCATAATCTGTAGTACAAATACTAATTAGTGTTCTGAACTCTGAAGCATAGTCAGGGCCTGGTCTAGCGATTTTGCCGCCCCAAGCAGCAAAAGCAAAAAAAAAAAAAAAAAAAAGCCGCGATCGGCAGCAGCTCTAGCGCTGCTTCATTCTACGGCGGCAATTCGGCGGCGGTACCGTCACTCCCTCTGGGAGCGACGGACCTGCCGCCGAATTGCCGCCAGACGTGCCTGCCGCCGAATTGCCGCCAGACGTGCCGCCCCCCTCTTCATTGGCCGCCCCAGGCACCTGCTTGTTATGCTGGTGCCTGGAGCCAGCCCTGAACATAGTGGCTCAGACTGATACCCTTGTTTCCACAGTGCTCGGGTACTATCATACCCTCCCTCAGGCTTTCCTAAATTGTAGATTTTCATTACATGGTGACTCCTCTGAATCCATAACCTGGTGCTTCTTGAGGCACACATGAGGAGAGGAGATTCAAGTGTTTTAATATGGAGTTGTGATATAAGAGAGGCTGTGAATACTGTAGAAATAGTTTAATAGGGTTGCACAATGGTGATTTGGGAGCCAGCTTTGGAGAGGGCAGGTCTCACTGGAAGTCCTCATTTCCACCAGCCTTGTCTCTATCTATGGTGCTTGTTACCATAGTATCTGAGTGCCTTCAAACCCCAAGGCCAACAGTCAAGCGCTCTCACCTCAGCTGTGTAGTCCACCCTGACCTTGGTAACGACCCAGTAGCAGGGCTCGTCATACTGACAGAGCCAATACTTGCGGGTGACCATGCGGCCGATGCCAAAGAGCCGCAGCTGGCAGAGCAGCGTGAAGAGGCGGTTCTCGTTCCTCACATCCTCCCAGGCCAGCACAGGTAGGCGTTTGTTCGTGAAGGGTCGGATCATGGTCTTGTAATCCAGGGCGAAGCGCTGGGAGTCTCGGGGACGGTTCTTCAGTGCCCGGTACTCACGGATCTTCTTGGCCATGGCGGCGATTGGGCGGTACAGCTTCTTACGAGCCATGGCAATGGCAGCTCACGGGCCAGCCGGGCAGGTTCAGCACAGATGGCACCAGAGAGATGCTGATGCTACTGCTCCCCCGGACTCCTCTTCCCTTTCTCTTCTTCCTTTCCTCCCCTCAGGGACCAAGCTTCCCAGCCCGGGATAGTTCCCAACGCACGAGGCCTCTCACGAACCTCTGCCGCCCTACGGCGGTGCATCATCCTAACCCGGCCGGCCGGAACTTCCCGTAGCAACGGAAACGCACCAGCCGTCAGCTCCCCCGGAAGCGATCGGCTAGTCAGCGAGGGGCGCGCTCGCTGGACTGGGGCAGAGCTTGGCTGCTGTACGGAGCGGAACGTTCCTGCTGCACTGGGGCAGCGGGGGACTGGTTAGAGCAGCGCGCTACGCTTGGTGCCTAGGTCTGCCCGAGTGGGGAAGCGCAGTCCGGGGTAGTCCGGGGGATCTCTCTCTCCTGGGGGCTGGTGGGCTTCCCCATGGGGATGTATGTCAGGGCGGGGGGAGGCTCTGTGTATATCGGTGACATGATGGGTCTCCCACCCAGCCCCCCGGCTGCCCGAGAACTCTGGGAGGAGCTGCCGAGCAGTGGGCTCCCTTCCGAGCTAGAGTTCTCCGGACTCCCAGTCTCCTTGCGGTCACTGCCCCCCGAGGCTCTGCGTAGTCCTGCGCGTCTCAGGGCAGAAACGACTCAGATATACCCCAGATCTGTATTTGGCTCTTATTGGCAGCACTTCAGGCTATTTACAGTCGTAATTCTAGTGTCTAAAAATGATTTTTCCCTTGACTATTGTAATGTGAATTGAGCACTTGTAACAGATGCCTAATGCCAGGCCTGTATGCTGAAGCAGTATTGCCCATGATTTTATTGCAGTTTCACAATATTTGGTGTTTTTCTTAAAGCTCTAGAACCTGGGGTTCTGGGAGAATCTCAACTTCCCTTTTATTTAAAAAAAGAAATGTCTTGCCCTTGTGATTACAGATAAAAACTTTGAAACATGACCTGAGTGCATTCTGTATGATCAAAAACCACAAAGAAAAGGTGTCACCATCCCTAGCATGTACAAGAGTTTTTTCCAAAAATTAGGTATGTGACATCTTCAAAGGAACAGAGTCCTGTGGCACCTTTAAGACTAACAGATGTATTGGAGCATAAGCTTTCGTGGGTGAATACTCACTTCATCAGATGCATCTTCAAAGGGTTTACCATTAGTATTAACTTCTTTGGCTTGACCCAGAAGTGCAGTTAAGAAAAGACACAAGGTTAACAGCTAATTTATGACAGACTCCATTCACATAGTTTGGCTTGTTCAACATCTATTGCATTTCCCAATCCTTTTGTGTACCACGGTGAGTGTTCAGATACAGATTCTCCTGCCTCTTTGGAGTAGGCTCTCAATTCAGGCATGTGTTTGAGGGTTTGACAAGGAAAGGGTGCACTGCAACCGTGCCTGCCCTCAGCCCCTCCCTCTGGAATCTCTTTGTGTTGGGCCCCACCCCCTTGTGAAGCTTCCCAAATGCAAAGTTTTACCTCCCCCTGCCTTGAAGATAGTGTTATCTATTACAAGCATAGCAAGAACACCACCTTCTGTCTGGGCTCCCCTCTGAGGCAGACACTCTTGTGTTCCCCAAAAGGGAATGTGACCCTGACCTAGTTGTGGGCTCACAGCTACCAGCTATGACAGACCCTTCACTGGCCAGTAAAATCCCCCACCCTCCTTTCACTCAGGTTGGGCTTGCTTCCAGCTACAGAGTCTTTGGAGTCTGTTCCCACCACAGCAGTCACCAGGACCCCAACTTCCACCTCCAGGATACATGACTCTGTGCACCTCTTCCACTCCATTACAGCCAGTTCATGCTTCTGGGTCTCAATTTGTGCTTGTCTCTGGGCCTCAATTTCTTTGTCTTTTAAGTCCAGAGTTTGCTGGTGGGCAGCTTTTTGTGCTTCAATTTGAGCCTGTTTCTGTGCCTCAAGTTCTTTATCTTTTAAGTCCAGGGCTTGCTGTCTCTTTCCTTCTTAGCAATTTGCAGCCTGTGCAGTTCTAGCTTCTGTTCCTATTTCCCGAACAAAGTAAGTCACCAAGCAAAATAAAGCAAAAATATGCAAGTCTAAGCCTAATACATTAAGAAACCATTTACAGGTAAAATCTCACCCTCAGAGATGTTCCAATAAGCTTCTTTCACAGACTAGACTCCTTCCTAGTCTGGGCCCAATCCTTCCCCCCGGTACAGTCCTTGTTAGTTCCAGCAGCCATCTTAGATGTTAACTAGGGGTTCTCTCATGACTGGCAGCTCCCTTTCATAGAATCATAGAATATCAGGGTTGGAAGGGACCTCAAGAGGTCATCTAGTCCAACCCCCTGCTCAAAGCAGGACCAATTCCCAACTAAATCATCCCAGCCAGGGCTTTGTCAAGCCGGGCCTTAAAAACCTCCAAGGAAGGAGACTCCACCACCTCCCTAGGTAACGCATTCCAGCGCTTCACCACCCTCTTAGTGAAATAGTGTTTCCTAATATCCAACCTGGACCTCCCCCACTGCAACTTGAGACCATTGCTCCTTGTTCTGTCATCTGCCACCACTGAGAACAGCCGAGCTCCATCCTCTTTGGAACCCCCCCTTCAGGTAGTTGAAGGCTGCTATCAAATCCCCCCTCATTCTTCTCTTCTGGAGACTAAACAATCCCAGTTCCCTCAGCCTCTCCTCATAAGTCATGTGCTCCAGACCCCTAATCATTTTTGTTGCCCTCCGCTGGACTCTTTCCAATTTTTCCACATCCTTCTTGTAGTGTGGGGCCCAAAACTGGACACAGTATTCCAGATGAGGCCTCACCAATGTCGAATAAAGGGGAACGATCACGTTCCTCGATCTGCTGGCAATGCCCCTACTTATACAGCCCAAAATGCCGTTAGCCTTCTTGGCAACAAGAGCACACTGTTGACTCATATCCAGCTTCTCGTCCACTGTGACCCCTAGGTCCTTTTCTGCAGAACTGCTACCTAGCCATTCGGTCCCTAGTCTGTAGCAGTGCATGGGATTCTTCCGTCCTAAGTGCAGGACTCTGCACTTATCCTTGTTGAACCTCATCAGGTTTTTTTTGGCCCAATCCTCTAATTTGTCTAGGTCCCTCTGTATCCGATCCCTACCCTCTAGTGTATCTACCACGCCTCCTAGTTTAGTGTCATCTGCAAACTTGCTGAGAGTGCAGTCCACACCATCCTCCAGATCATTAATAAAGATATTAAACAAAACCGGCCCCAGGACCGACCCTTGGGGCACTCCGCTTGAAACCGACTGCCAACTAGACATGGAGCCATTGATCACTACCCGTTGAGCCTGACGATCTAGCCAGCTTTCTATCCACCTTACAGTCCATTCATCCAGCCCATACTTCTTTAACTTGGCGGCAAGAATACTGTGGGAGACTGTATCAAAAGCTTTGCTAAAGTCAAGGAATAACACATCCACTGCTTTCCCCTCATCCACAGAGCCAGTTATCTCATCATAGAAGGCAATTAGGTTAGTCAGGCACGACTTCCCCTTGGTGAATCCATGCTGACTGTTCCTGATCACTTTCCTCTCCTCTAAGTGTTTCATAATTGATTCCTTGAGGACCTGTTCCATGATTTTTCCAGGGACTGAGGTGAGGCTGACTGGCCTGTAGTTCCCCGGATCCTCCTTCTTCCCTTTGTTCTCTTCCACCCCCTTTTATAGCTTAGGTACAAGGCGGGACTCTCTTGTCTCTCTGGGTCCCCACCCTTCCTTCTAAATGGAAAAACACCAGGTTCAAGATGGATTCCAGTATCAGGTGACACGTTCACATGTCCTGTGAGACCTCAGCCTCCATTCTTCCTGGGCTGGCTCACAGGAACACAGGAAGGCTTGCAAGTAAACAGAGCCATTTGCAACCAATTGTCCTAGTCAATGGGAGCCATCAAGATTCTAAACCACCATCAATGGCCCACACTTTGCATAATTAGTACCTCAGAGTTATACTTTATATTTCTAGCTTCAGATACAAGAATGATACATACATACAAATAGGATGAATATATTCAGTAGGTATAACCTTTTATGATACTTTACAAGAGACCTTTTTCATAAAACATATTCCAGTTACATCATATTCACACTCATAAGCATATTTCCATAAAACATTATGGAGTGCAACATCACAAAAGGAATCCTTTTATTTTTTTATTTTTTAAAAATCATGATTTGTAAGCAGTCTTGATTTTTTTTTTTTTTAGGCCCGATTCATAATTTTTGAATGTGTGGAGTTGGCAATACTGCTGAAATATTGTAGCCACCTGGACAATGGCAGAGCAAGCTCCCTCCCACACTGTCCTGTGCCTCAACTGACTTGGATAGCCCACCAATAAGAGTAAGAGGGGAATTCAGTCTATGACCCATTCAGTCCTTAGCCTCTCTGCTGATATTTCCAGCAAGGGAAATAATTAGTACTAATTAGGTGCTTTGGGATGTTGGTGCCTGTCCTCCAGGAGTAGGACTGAGACCAGATTATTCTCATAGGCTAGTTCTTGTTTGGGTCTTAGTTGATGAATTTCAGTCAGAGCTGACCTGCTGTGGATTTGAATGAGTGGTAGATTCAAAGTGAAAGGCTCCATATCCTATCACTGAGCTGCTTGTTTGTCGTAAGCTAGGATTTACTTCCTATGAGAGGAATTTAGGTTTTTAATTAATCCTTTTTTCTTCATTTTTAATTAAAACTAACCTAAGCAAAACAAAATGTATCACTTAGATAAATGTTTTAAAAATAAATAAGGTTTAGTGCATTTATATATTAGAAATTGGTACAGAATATTGAGTGCCTCTGCATTTTCTAAGCAAATAATGTTAGTCTTTTAGGTAATTAGAAATGCTGAAGAGAAAAATAAAACCATGGAGGAAAATTCGAAGAATCAATCCAATGGCAAAATCAACAGAGTTATCAAAAGAGCTGCTGCCTGGGAAATTTCAGATTCTGATGCAGACAGTGATGTTGAATCATGTCAAACCAGAACTGTTACCCTGATGCACCCAGCTGCTGATACACTGGATCATAGCATTTGTGATCATGCTGCACAAGAAAAGCTGAAAAACTGTGTGAGTGTCAGTGAGCCTAAAGAGCTACTTTTGCAAACCTCTCCTCAGCAAGTAACTACATCCTCTCCAAGCCCAAATAAAAGGAGGAGAAGGAGAACTCCAGA